GGGGAGCCTATTGATATTCATAAACAGTACTGGCTCTCTTGTTTCTTGCTGTTATTTCTTTATTTACTTCTTAAAAGTAATTAGCTGTTAGGAGTAATCAGAATAATTATGGGATGGCGTACAGTAATAATTAACGATGAACGGGTGTCCTGATGTTCAGGGAGGTGAGGTGGTGGCAACCCGCAGAAAAGCATCTAAATTTGGCTAATCTGTAGTGGTGACAGGGGGGCTATGACTAGGTGGTGGAAAGAGGGTATAGAGCAGGTACAAAGCAGGGAAAACACAGGGGGGTATTACAGCCGATTGCACACACACACACACACACACACACACACACACAGAGTACACATTAATTCAATCAGTGCACAGCTCGGGAGGGATGACAATGCCAGTGATTACAGAGACAAGGCAAAGAAAAGAAGGAGTGCTTTCCTGACATTCTTCATGATTCCAAACCTCTGAAACACATTCAAGTTTGTATTCATGTCTTTGTTGGGCATTTTCATTAGTGTCTGTATTACAGTAGCTAAATAACACACAAAAGCACTTTAGCATTTTGTTTTAGTGGGAACCAGCCGAATGTCCCCATAATGTTTTCAATCATTCTGAGGACAGTTGGTCCCCACAGAGCGATAAATACATCCCCATTCATACACATTTGTATTCCTGTCTTTCTGAAGTATTTCCATGTTGTTTTGTATGACTGTAGCTAAATGCTCCTGTGCTAGGCCTAACTCAAATCTAACCTTAGCCTTAGCAACCACAAGCTATTTTTTTTCTTTTTTTTACATTTTCTAATAGCTGCAGCCAAACATTGCCATGTATCACACATTATCATGTTTTCCATCGTTCTTGGCACATTTGGTTCCTACAAAGCACTAAACTAGTGGCACACTAAACTAGTATGACTAGTGTGTTTGTTTTGTCTTCCATCGCCTTCTGTATGACCATAGGAAAAAAAAAATGGGCTGGGGAAAGTTGCCCACAAGGTAATTTGTTTTTATTTAATATATCATATTTGTTGTGTTTAACGTCTGCAAATATTACTAGTTTTTCATCATTGCATTTTGGTTGGAAACAAAACAGTTAAAAATGGTTTTCAAGGCCCAGAAGAAAACAATCCAACCAGGATTTATTTTCTCTATGGTATCTAAGTAGATACAACCAAGTTAGCTGTCCCATTTTCTTGGACTTCAGGAGCTAAACTGCAGATCAACTTGTTAGACTGACCACCAACATAGCAAGGAACTAACAATGAATTCAACCAATCATGCTATTTGATATACAATGGGCAGGGCCAATTTCATGAGAAAAATGTCTTTAGGCCTTCTGGAAGTCATGGATACGTCACTGACTTCCAGTACGGGTGGCATCTCAAACAATAAGTTTCAATCAGTTGTTAGAAAGAGAAAACAGTGACATCTAGGGCTCTTTACTGAAATAAGTGTAGAACAGATTAAAATATACCTTAATGCCTTCACAATTTTCAAATGTCCATGTTTAATCTAGAACAGCTCAAAAATGTTTACATGAATCAACACTAGCTTAGTGCTATGATACTTTTTGACAGGACTTAGTAGAAATTAGCATAATTATAGGTGTTTTTACCTCATTTTTGACATAGTTTTGACAATTATAGCCCAAAGTGAATGACTAGCTCAAATAGTCACATGTTCCACTGACACAACATCACACATCATTCTGGGGACATTTTCTGAGGTCCCCACAAGGAGCTAAATACACATTTGCACATGTTTATATTGCTTCCCTTGAAGGATATTTCAGTGTTCCGCATTATGACTGTAGCTACATGCTGTTGTGTAGCACATAATCAAACCATAAACTCAGGAATCAAATGCTAATGTTTTACTTCTACAAATAAAATACAAATAAAAACTGAATTAATTAATTAATTATTTTTGTAAAATAGCAAGTTTTCCTTACGGGGTCTGGAACTACACTGAGGCCATTTCTCTCCACAAAGCAAATGCACACACACAAAGAGAGAGAGATTACAAAACAAACAAATAAATAAATAAATAAATAGAGCTCCTCACAGGCGAAGCCTCCTAGGCTTCAAAGACGAAGTGCCCAATATATGCCTACAGATTACACACACATTTTTTCTTTCCGCGTCTTGATTTAATAATAGGGATGGCATACGCGTGGATCCGCCGCGGAGAATTTGTATAAATCAATCCCTGAATGTGTGTTTACCTCTTAACAAGCCATGCATCAGGTCCCATTCGAAGAAGGACAAGAGTAGGACTGATGCTTTTGCTAATACAAAACCTCCACAGCAATTACAGGCGCATTGTCACATTCCTGTGATCAATTAGTCCTTTTTTCTCACATTGAGAGAAGTGTTTGTTTTTCTGTCATTTTCCATACATCTCTGTTTTTTTCTCCCACTTGAATCTGCTATAAAAAGGTGTGTAAATGCAATACAGTGCATCATGTTATGATATTACTTTCTTGTCTGATTGTTCTAAACTTTATCATGTCTCCAGTCACTTTGTTGCACCTATAAATATAAATGCACATCTGGACCCAACATTATAGACATATTTGCAGGTTCTTTAAGCTTCTTTTAAATGTTCTTCCCACTTGTGCATTTAATTTACAAATAATGCTGTCTGTTAAAAAGATTAAGGGAACCAAGAGTGGTTCTTCTATCGTAACCTAAGAATCTTTCTTGGCACCTTCACAAATAAGGGTCTAATAATGACTTATTTACAGTATCCAAATCCAAATGTTTTATGCAAAAAACAACAGATATTGATGTGATTTCAAACCTTTGCATAGCAGTGTAATAGTACCTTGTTCTAGGGACCCAGAATAAAGCAGTGCAGACAGGGTCAAAATAACCCAATCCTGGACAGTTCCATATAAGAGACAGCTGAATGCTCTGCCACTGCTGCCATTAATGCGCTCCATTACATTTCTCTGCAAGCAAGCATTTCTCCATCCAGCTCCGTATGGGGCTGACAGCGTGCAGATCGTTCCATTTCTTTATGTATCAGTGAGTGTGTCTTTGCAACATAGTAATAAAGGCATGTTGTGGCAGGAAATGAAAGACATTCATTCTACTGTATTGCAGCAACTTCTTTTGTACAAGAGGCAGCTCTGTAAACAAAGCCAGACTGAAGTAAATGTTAGATAGACAGAAATGGAAGGTACTTCTGTGGTCTGAAAGAGCCAAAATCTAGATTATTTCAGTTCAGGTCAATATTATTTTTACAGCATTTTGAAAAGAGGGAGCAGCTTCCCATTAATTTGGTTTAAGGCCTAAATTTTGATCTCAACTTCAGTAGAGTCCAACAAAATTCTGGACAAACCCAACTACACTTCAACATCATTTATTTTTTAATAAATTTGGTGGTAGCCTGACAAAATTCCGTCCCAACTTGATAGTAGACCAACCACATTCTGTGTGAAGCCAACTATAGTCAGACACCCTTGTGAATCCCAATTTAACCTGACAAAATTGAGTTCAGTTGGGCCTGACTGTAGCATGACAGAATTTCAGCTGAAAATTCCATCACAACCTGATTGTAGTTCAACAAAATTTTGTCTAAACCCAGCTGTAGCCTAAAAAGTTCTGTCTGAACTTAAACATGACCTAACAAAATTCTGTTTAAACCTGACAGTAGCCCCCAAAAATAGTGTCAACCTGACTGTAGCCTGGCAAAGTCTATCCCAACTTGACCGGAGCACAACAAAATTCTGTGTGAACTCAAATGTAACTTAACAGAATTGTTAGAACCTGAGAGCAGCCTAAAAAATTCTGCCCCAACTTGACTGTAGCCCAACAAAATTCTATGTAAACCTGAATGTAGGCTAACAAAATTGTGTCTGAATCCTACAGCAGCCTGACAAAATTGTGTCCCAACATAACTGTAACCCAACAAAATTCTTTCCCAAAAAATTTCGTCTGGACCCAAAAGAAGCCTGATAAAATTCAGTTTGAACTGACTGTAGTCCAACAAAATTCAGTTCCAACCTAACTGTACCCCAATAAAATTCTGCTTGAAACCTGCCTTTACAACATTCTGTTCAAACCTAACTGTAGCCCAACAAAATTCTGCCAGAACCCAACTCTAGCCTGACAAAATTCAGTCTGAACTTGACTGTAGTTTAATAAAATTTGGTCTGAACTTGACTGCAGTCTGACAAAATTTGGTCTGAACTCAGCTCTAGCCCAACAACATTGTAGTCTCATAAATTTCAGTTCATTTTCACTCGGCTCTTTGGCTGATGCCAGTGCAATCCACATGTCCACAACGGTTGACAGTTTTTCAACTAGGAGATGGGTGGATATGTGCTTGTCTCAGGGATGCCTGAATCACTTCGCCTGTGTGCTGGAGGTGTGAAATTGTCATTTGCCATGTAAAAAGTCCTTAAAGCTCCACATTCCTAAGGATAGTGCCTGCAAAGTTAGCTCAGCTACAATGACAGTCACACGCCCACATACATTAGAACAGGAGGCAGCTTTTTCAAATGCTAAAACGCTTCTACCACTGACATTAAGAACAACATTTACGTCTGCTTGTCATGACGAGACACAAGAAATGACACAGAGGTTAAATTAGTCTCTATCTCTCTATCTGTCTGTCTGTCACTGACACCTCTCCTAAGAGGCCCGAACGCCACACGGTATCTCTCGTACGACTCACGGCTAATGTAATCCACTGAGTGAGCAGCAGTACTGTGTGTGTGTGCGTGATTTTGTGTGTGTGATTTTGTGTGTGTGTGCCTCTGTTACATGATGTTGACAGACAGGTAAGAGACTCACTATGCTATTAACATGAGATATTAATTTTAATGCATCGAAAAGCTTTTTCAGAGCAGAATGCTTGATGGAGTGCTAGTAATGTTAGCCTGCGCTTAAACTGACATGAGATGTTTCAAGGCAAGCTGTCAGAGATCCAAGTATTTAACTGACTCTCTCTCTCTCTCTCTCTCTCTCTCTCTCTCTCTCTCTCTCTCTGTTGTAACAGGGGTGCTTGCCATGTTTTCCCAGCAGCCCCAAGACCTGGTAGTGGTAGCTGGTCAGCCTGTCACGCTGCCATGCTCAATTCCTGGCTACCACGGTGTTGTGCTGTGGATCAAAGATGGCCTGGCCTTGGGCGTCGGAAGAGACCTATCAGGTAAACCAGTAAGGTGTGATTATCAACGTTTCTTAAAATTTTAGTGTTAAACAAAACAGGAGGCTGCCAGTGGGGAAAGAATCTGTCTATGTTTTCTGTTAATTTGTTAATTTGATAGCAAATTAACAGCTCTTACCCTTTCCTCTCCATTAAGCCAGACTCTCAAATCTCCAAAGTGCTTTTAGAGGGAACTTCTGGTAATGAGGGTTCGCTTAGCTTAGGTACACATTAAGACGCAACATTGTGTTCTCTCTCTCTTTTCTTTTTCCTTTCTGCAAAATGACCTGTGTAATTGCTGTCAGATGTTAAAAAAAGACTAGGAGTAGCCTACCAAAATATAACCCGCAGACCCTTGAAGTACTTTTAGCTTTTAGATAGCTTTTGAAGTGTGTCTCTTCCTCGTTTGCAAATTGCCACTTGCATTGTATCGGCCTAATTGTTTGATTCTGTATAACGCTGGTTGGATTGCGATCCCTGCACTCTTTTGGTCCCCTAATGCATATTCATAAATGTGCTGAGCAAGTGTCCATTTTCTGACGAACAGTAACAGTAAAATGCTTATAGGAAGGCTTTTGCTTATTTTTAACTGGTAAGCTATATAAACTATGAAATACTGCAGATGAATTACCAGAAAAGTGTTAAAATAATTAAAACTAATGAAGTAGCCCCACTTAATGCTTTGGATTTCTCCTGATCAGCTTCAAGAGGAGCCACCTGGGATGTTTGTTTGTCCAACATATAATAATGAATATACTTAGGCCATATTGGCTTGATGGGGGGCATTTCAAAAACATAATTTAATTGTAAGATTTGTGAGTACAGGGTGATTTAAAAAGATTTATCTGATTCCAAAATGATTTATTTCACTTGTAAATCATTACAGAACAATGTAGTAAACTGTAAATGGTTTAAATCAGCATAAAGCATGTAATTTTACAGGTGCTCAATATGAACCCCCTCCAGCTATACGGACAACATCAACACCATAGTCAAACTCATCCCATACTCGATTGAGCATGTCAGGTGTCACTGTACTCACGGCTCTTTTAATGCAATTTCGGAGATCATCCAGTGTTGTGGAACCAACGCCGAACGCTCTGAGCTGTTGGAGGTTCACTGCTGATGAAAATCACGTTGCACAGTTATGACAGATTCACTCTTATTGAAGTGGAGAACGCAAAATGCTTTCTGCTTAGGGGTCACCATCTCCTCATAGACTGAAGGGAGCCATCTTCTGGTCACAGTCAGAAACTCTATGACCCCCTCTTTGAATTGGTATGTGATTGGCTCCTAGGCGCCTCACGGTTGTGAAAATACGGTGCTTTGAAATCAGATAAATCATTTTGAACCACCTTGCAAATTCATACATTGTTTCATATTACCTGTTTTTCTGAATTAGAGATAAATGTCAAGCATTTGAGAATAAGAATTTAATCAAAATATCTCCACAATGCTGAAAAACAAACATTCAGTCAAGTGTGTCCACACTAACATAGACACGAGTGCAGAGCAGAAAGTGCCTAAATGTGACCACAATATGTGCACACACCACATTGCTGAAATAAATGATCTAGGGCTGCAGAGAGGACCATCTACTCACTGTGTATGCTAGTGAGGTGCAGGGTACTGAGGTCAAAAGAAAATAGATGGTCAAAAACAGGAGTTTCAAGAAAAATAGGAAAATGGGACCTGGAAATGCAAGACCTGGTAGACCACCAAAGCTTTCGCCATCAAATAAACAGCACTTAAATCTTTCATAGTTGACAGAGAGGAGAAAATCAAGCTCCACTCTTGCTTCAAATCTAAAATCTACGGCTGTTTCTGTCCATGCTTCCAATGTGAGAAGACAACTCAATGCTATAGATCCGAAAGAATGTGTAGCCATCAAGAAGCTGCTACTAAGAAAAAAAAAATCAAATACAAATGTTATAAACTATGATTGAACTGAAGAGATATTTCCAAGAAGCATCAAAACACATTTTTTTTGGCACTGAAAAATGAATAATTTGTACAGTACTATAAATGAAGTTTTTTCCAAACAAAACATTCTATATAGAGTTATAATTCTACTCTGGCTAAGAAAACAGGAACAGAACTAATGAAACAAGAACACAGAATACAGTTTGTATGCATGTTGCAGCCACATCAAGGCATAATGTGAAAGCTGAAAGCGTTGATAAATTATTCTATTGACAAATATCTAGCTGCTGTGCATGCTGTTACTGTCTCCTAATACCACGTCTTTAAAATATTACTGCAAATTTACACCTTTTTTAAGGAAAATTGCACACAAAACCAGTCATTAGTAGTCATTCCAGTCGATTCATTAATCAGCTGTACTTCCAATTTCTCCACCCATTTTCTGCAAGATCCTTGCAAGTTCTGCACAGTCTTCTGTCAAATGCATATGTGTGAGGGAAAGAAGTTGATTTTTTTTTTTTCATATTTTCATTTACTTGGACTACAAACTGTATGTGGGCTCATGCACATACTGGAGTTTGCACATAACATGCGAGCAGAATGTGTTGGATTTGCGCATGAAACCGCCCCATCATCAGGCCCATTGTGTCTATTTCCAAATGACAAAAGCTTTGCTCACTTTTAAAGACAGTTTAAACATGACACTGGGATTTGTGGGGCGAGCCGTGGGCTGCCAGGTCACACAGAGGGCGAATCGCTTCCCCTGTCTGCGGTCGTACCTTCGCCTCTTGCCCCAGAGCTCCTCTTGCTAAGCAAGATGCAAACCCCGCTAGGCCTTCTTAGAGCCAAGAGCTGGAACGAGCCGTGCCATTAAATATGTATTCCGCTGGAGATCCTGGGTCTCGTCGCCTCTGACCTTCTGCGGCAGCGCCTCTGTGCCATCTTATGACTGATAGTGCACTTTAATTAAACCTCAGTGGGTAACGGCAACCAAGTAAATCCCCTCAGCTTCCCAGGTCATGGTTATCAGGCTCCCAGGGGCTGGCCACGGCTCTCTTTAATGCATAGATGTTCTGCTAACCATTTGTACACAACTTGGGTTGTTAATTTCCTGTGCTAATATAAATAGACCACAAACAAAAACAAATATATTGGGTAATATTTTCATGTTTTGTTCGTCACTTATATGTAAAACAAGTAAGAGGAATGAGGCAATGCATTGTTGGTAACACACAATATGCACTTCATCACTGCCTTAAACATCTATAAAACAGATTTACGATAGTTTTATGGTAGTTCTGGCTTAAAGCATATGGCGGAGGGGTAAATTTAAGGCATGTTAGACAAAATAGTCCCCAAAGAAAACACTTTAGATTTACCACAAGAGAAGAACAAGAGGGAAGCAAGAACATTTGCAATTCTGTATCAACTCTCTGTTTAACAGTGCTAAACAAGAGTGGATAAGGGCCTGCCCTTCCTTGCCTCCTTGCTCTTAATTCAGATTGATTGTGGACTTGCTCATGGCATATATGTGTATGATTTCTTGTTTGTTTATTTGTTTGTTTGGAGTTGCTAAGAGCTGCTGCTTGGGACAAAAGAGCACTCTAAAAGCCAGGCATCAGGGACATGGGTTGTGTGCGCGTCACTGAAGCGGAAGGCACTTTACAAAATATCGCACCACAGCTGCTCTTTTTAGCACTGCCGCATGCGTCAACAAGTAACACTTTCTCCAATAAAGAATAATGACACATCTACGATCGCGTACGCCAGGCGAGCAGCCGTACGCATAAAACAAAGTGTGGCACCTTGTATAGTGCAATAGATTTCAATATCAGCCCACTCTGCTGCTCACAGAGTGTGCTTCTCTCTCGCTGTCTCGGAAGGCAAGTTTGCTCCAGAGCAGAGGAACAGTGAGCAAAATTTGAGAAATCACACGCAATTTGCTTTAATAAATCAGAAGACAAAGAGAGCTGATTTCCATCGGTCCCCCACGTTCGCTCGCCAGGTCCTTTTGTTTTTCCACCGAGGCTCTAATCAAAGGAGTCTGCTCAGGGCCGCTACAGACTTGCACATGTACACAAACTCTATGAATATGCATTGTGGGCTGTGTTTGCACTCGGCTAAATGGGAACATCCAAACAGACAAAAAGAGAGTGGACTTGGGTTTTGAGGACACACAAAAGAGAGATGTTGCTTTTGTGAGATTGTTTGGCTTTCACCAGTGATAGAGGATTAATCAATGTGACATGGCTTTGAACTTAGTAGATCCCACAGTTCTGGCATTACCAATGAAAATCAGATATGACAAAGAGCAGCTGTGCCCTAAAAGAGAGCACAGGACCATTCTTACCTTAGTTTTATGACCCATGACATCTTGTCAAATTCCAACTAGGATGCTTTCACATCTAAATATTTGGAGCAGACTAATCAAACGTTTCTTTAGTCTGGTCCATTATGACAGATTGAACACTCTGCCCATGCTCATATTCTTGAAGCACAAACTGCTGCTAAAAATGCCAGATAAAATGGCAACAATAAGATAATATAGAAGCATTTGATTTTGTCCCATTTTTCTCGAATAGTGTTTCAGTATGTTAGGCCAGGCATCAGTAACCTTCATTCATCTTAATGTGTAGGATTGTACATTTTATTTAGAATATATTTGAGGGATAGATCTGAATTTTATACTGCGATAGGCTAGATGAATGTGAAAGTAACAGAGCACCAGCAACCTCACCAAATTCTTTATCAACGAAATAAAACCAAAGAATGTTTCATCTGATAAGCTTTAAAATGCGAAACCAACCAAACCAAATGAAAACGATACAGTGTCACAAAAACCCAAACTCTGGTGCAAACTAGGTGTGAAAACAGCCCTTACTTCCACACTATGGTCTCTTACATTACAATTCTCCTCTTTGTTTGGAACATTCAACGATGTTCTCTCAACCACCACAGGTTCTGTTACAGTCCACACTTCCACACCTTAGATTCATACATCAGATTCTTTCTCCTGATTCGAAGCAACCCATGAGATCCACTCAAATTCCACTTAGCTTCTGCCATGATGTATGGTTCCACATCATGGTTTAGGAATTATTCTCCTGATCTCTTCTGGTTTGGAGCATCCAGAGGTGTTTTCTCAACTTCCATTTTGCTTTTGCTTTTCCCCGTTTTTGCTTTTCCCCGTTTTTGTTTTTCCCCGTTTTTGTACTAACAATGTTTACTATCCGGTGTCCACCAGAGGAGGATGGGTTCCCCTTCTGAGTCTTGGTTCCTCTCAAGGTTTCTTCCTGTTTCTCTTAGGGAGTTTTTCCTTGCCACTGCCATCACTGGCAACACTCATGGGGGTTTGGACCCGGATTTCTTTCTATAATGCTGATTTTTTTTGTAAAGCTTTTTTGTGACAACACCTGTTGCAAAAAGCGCTATATAAATAAACTTTGCTTGCTTGCTTCTGTCATGATCTATACTTCAACAAGGTGATCTCTTAAATTAGAATTCCTCTCCTCATTTGGAACTTCTGTGCAACATCCACCTTTGCTTTTGCCATGATCCATGATCATGTCAGAATCTGTCGTCATGCAGCTTATCAACACATTCTCTGTGTCTTCTTTCCTCTCGAAGATGCTTCAGGGAGATACACCTGTTCACCCATGCAGTCGTTAATCACCGATGCCCTGTCTCCACTTCCCCTGCCATTGATTGGCTATAAAGACTCATCCATTCCCGCCCTGATGGATCCATTACCCCTAATGGGGCTATTTTGCATTGTTTGTTTTCAGTGACATATGTTGTCTTCAGGATTCATTGTGATCAATGTGAGCATCGTTTTATTCCCTTCTCTGATCTATTGCACTCTTGCGTTGTGCACATTGCTTGGGAATTTATGCGCAACTCACCCAGGATAAGATTCATCTAGGTTGCCTGACAGAGATTGAAGGCATGCCACGTTGGTTTGTCCTGATCCCTTGTGCTCACAGTGGCCTTCTTGGATAAAACCCCTATTAAGCTTGAGTCTTGGTCAGACAAAGATGCATATACTTTGGTGCTGTCTCTTGTCCTGTATTAGAGGGTGCAAATCTGTTCAGGTACAGTAGCATGACATTACCTCATTGCCCTTGGAAGCTGTAGCTAGATTGTAGCATATGTTAAGATGCAGTTTGGCTCGTGACAAGGCCACATATGAATTTAGTATGCATGAGTGCGGTGCAGAGCTGACTTTCCTCAAGCCCTTGTTGGGTCAAACTATTGTTGCCTGTGCTGGAAAAGGGGTCATACCTTATGGTTGCATGATGAATGAGTAGGCATTGTTAAACTGTGTGTATGCAGATGATATTCAGGATGACCTTGAGTCCACAACGCACTGGAAATTCTCACAGAATTAAATTACATATTCTTCTCCCTCGACAGATGAAGGAAGACTTCAAGATTTGCAGCCAGGCATTAAGTGCTAATAGATGCTTCAGGAAATCCATTGATCTCTTGGCAGGAGAATAAACCACAATATCGAGCAGAGTCAGTGGCCATTAATGTTATTTAGTGAGTTCCACTTGCTTTGACCGGCCATCAATATATAGTGAGACTTGACTGGTTTGTGTCGTTAAACACATCGGCTGATATTTGGTGTCTGTCTGCAGTAGCGCAGCTTGCTTTGTAGGAAACCATAGATGGTTTATGAAAAATACATCCCTTGACTAATTTGAGCCTCCCATGGTTGCAGTAAGTGCAACATAGAACACTAGTCACGTGAGCCCTGGCTATTGTGATGGGTTATTAAATGTTTGTTTTTTGGGTCATTCTGTTCCTCTGCCATCATCCCACTCGCTGAGAGAGATTAAAAGCTATATGTGGGCAGATAAAACACACAGTGCCATAACTGGCTACGCCTCTCCCCTCGATGGGGAAAATGAGGGGCACTTCATGGTCTATTAAAGGTGAATGGGATCCAATGAGGCAGCAGGCAATAATTGGCATTTTGTGGCGCAGTGGTTTCAACAGTCCGGCTCAAGGACTTAAAAGCCATTATGCCCAAAGTCTGGTCTATTTTTTCCCTTTTTGATGACAATATGTTAAAGTACATACCTTTTTCAAGCTTCACTGCTACGTGCGGTGTAGGCGATGGTGAACAGGGTACTGCAGGAACAAGCAGTAGACTGCACAGTGCACTCAAAGAAACAGGTGACTTCGAAATGGCCTCTCAGCTGGACGATAGATGTGTTCTGAACAAGGGAAGACTTAAACTGTCATGTATAGAGTCCTGGGTCAGAGTTTCGGATCTTTCAATATCCTCAAGTACGAGCCTCCGTTTCAGAGTGTGGAATAATAAAGATCCACTTGCTGTGAGGTATGGCTTATAGAGGCCTGTGGAGCAGGTGGTGCCCCACGCAGCGAGACAGTTATGTCACTGGGAATTTGCTGGAGCGAACATGACTCATATCGATGGACGGTGCAAAATCAATATTCTACCTCCAGGCATTCATTGGCAGACTTCCAAACGAGGTGGGGAGGGTCAGTGGAGATATTAAGTGGTGAGTACAGAATGACATCCGAGGTGTAAATTTAGCCGCACAAAGCCGAGGCGTTGGATTAAATTCTCTTGCTTTAGAAAAACAGGGCTAGATCATCTTTAAAACTGTTTTATGTGTGGCTCTTTTTCTCTCTCTTCGCGGTAATCAATTATGAGTGGGCCTTGGAAAAGAGAGCCTGTGCTTGTAGCGCTGAAAGCCTGCACATTTCTCGAGATGTTCCTGAATAGCCAATCTTGTTTAAATTCAGATGCCTCTTATAATTAGGGAAGACTGATCCTCGCGAGAGCTGTGGAAGTCATTCACATGAAGAGGGCTGTGAAACGTGCTGTAAAGCTCTCCAGAACGAAGTTAGTCCTTATCTGCTTTATTTTCCCCAATGGACCAAAGTGTCTGTGCTCACTCCCTATTCAAACTTCGAGCTAATAGTCAGCTCAAGGGTTTTAAAAGGCATCTCCATCTCTGCTTCGTGTTGTAAAACAGTCAGTTCAGCCAGAAGTACCCTGCCTCTTTCTTGATATATTATTAACCATGAATCTCCTTCCATATGCACCAACAGAACAGATATCAGTCTCTTTGGCTTTGGGCCTGTCAGGGCAGTATAAAACAGGTAGATAGTCATCAATATGCTTATCACAGGTTTTTTTTTACCTGTAAGAGAGTTTGAGAATACTTTCTTATTACAGGCGTTGTTGCAAAGCAGCTTTACAGAAAAACCTAGTTCCAAGCCAATGGTGACAGTGTCTAGGAAAAACTCCCTACAAGCAAGAGGAAGAAACTCTGAGAGAGAGACCAAGGCTCAATCCCATTTCACCCCTTGCCCCTACCACTTAGCCTTTAGCCCTCTGTTTTGCACGTTCACATCTAGGGTTAGGGTGTCCTGATTTTTGTTGAGATAGAGGGGTAGGGTGAATTGTTAGGGCTACATGGCCCTCCAAATGGAGGCTTTTAGAGACACTCCAAATGGAGTGCTATGAGAAAAAAAAAAACAAAAACAGTAAGATGGCTGCGTGAGCAACCAAAGAAATCCACAAATGTGAGCATGTTCTCTGTTAAAAAATTCCAATAAACATTGTATTATCTTAGTTTAATGTCATTTCAATGCATTATGGTTGTTTTCTTTATAACAAGCATAAAAAATTGTTAATGCTAATGTCTCAATAGCTAGCTAGCTAAATTTCCTGTTCCACCTTAAATAGTCCAGCATTATTGATGCCTGAAGCATAAGAATGTAACTGCTGCACCATTTAAGATGGAACAGCAGCGAGGCCCAGCAGTGAGGTTGCTCTCTGCTATCACTGAAGACAGGCTGGGTCGTCTACAGAGAACCGCTAGTAGCTGTTAATGAAGCAATGTTTTTTTTTTTGTTTGTTTTTTTTTTAATTTGAGGGTTGTCCCAGTTCATAGGGCAAGATTTCAACCACTACCCCTTGTAACTCAGTTCTAAGGGGTTAGGGCGACACTTGAAAACAAGGTGTAGTGGTAAAAAGAAGAAATGGGATTAGGTCCAAGACTCAAAAGGAGAATCCATCCTCCTCTGGTCAACGCTGGATAGCAAACAATGACAAAAGAGCAGCATGAACAGATAATAAGGTTTTAATATTTGTGTAAAATATTGAAATATACAGTGTATGTTCTTACCTAGAGAGTACAATGGATCATCTTGTAGGGTTATGTTCAGGAGCAGGTTACAAAACATAGATATACCTGACAAGGCACTGGGATCAGACAGGCCTGACAAGATATTGGAGTTGATAACAAATGGTTGCTGTTGCATCAGTCACCAAGAGTAACTTCTAGCATTTGTTATTATGGAATGAGAACAATTGAACTTCATTGGATGTTAAAGTCTGTGAATGGTAAACCATCCCCATCCATTTTGAAGGCTCTAATACCCACTTCCAAGTGTACTCAGCAAACCACTACAGAAGAGACTGATGCTGGCGCTGATGATTGAATGTGTTGTGCTCTGTGCTCCAGGTTACCCTCGCTACACCGTGGTTGGAGATCACAGTTCCGGGGAGCACCACCTGAGGATCCAGAGAGTTGAGCTGATGGACGATGCTGTCTTTGAGTGCCAAGCCATCCAGGCAGCCATGAGGTCCCGTCCAGCTCGGCTAACAGTACTCGGTGAGCCATTACTTCAGGATTTCCACACAAACTTGCACCGGAATTACTGAAAAAACCCTTTAACAAAATGTTAGGTTGAAACCATAATCCACAAATGAATGAACAGTCTGCAATGCTTGCATTATTGGCTTAAATGTTTCTTGAAATTTCTGCAGTTGTGTTTGTACCTGGTACATTTCACATATGACAGATAATGGAGTATTTGGTGTGGCACAAAGGACCTGACTTACAGATGCAGATATATATATGTGAATGCCATTTTTCTTCAATTTACTTACCGTATAGGTGCATTTTGTAGATCTACAGTTACAGATTGTGGTCCATCTGTTTCTGTGTGTAACTCCTTATTCCCCCTTTACCCTGTTCATCAATATTCAGGACCACTGAGCGTGTACTATTTCAGTGACTACAGTGACACTGACATGGTGGTGGCCAGTAAATGTACAGCTACACATTATTATCCTTCCAGGAATTTGGTTTAAGAGAATAGAATCTATACACAGGCATCTCAAAAAAGGGAATTCATGGTGCTGCTTGTCCAGGCCATGCGCTACTGTCACAAGAAAATCAAAGCTAAGCTAATACAAACCACCAGGCATCTAATCACATCCTTCGGTAAAAGAGTCTTCTTATCAAAATGCTTATAGACCTTATTGCTTTTAGTGAGACACTTTAAATGAACCAAAACAGACACCTAGTTACATTTAAGATTAAATAAGATCCAAAATTATGCCCGGTTATGAGGCCACTGGAAAAAGAATAATGTCCAATATGAAAAATAGATTTTTCACTGACCACATTCCCCTGCCGGTGCCATAAGTCCTCGGTTTTAATTTCCTGCTGCGAATCCTGCCATCTTCATTATTAAACTGGAGAGGTCATTGGATCTTAATTAAACTTTATTGGGTTATTATTCAGCGTTGCTGTTTCTGCATTATTGGCCAGCCACTGTGGTTATCTATGTTCAGGCTCCAATCAGCCACCTGGTGGGTTTATCTACAGCGCAGAGAGACCACACATACACATAGCATCTACACCTCCATGTCTTATCTCTCCTCCTGGTGGTCAGGCTTGTGGTGGCGTGTAGATGGGAGGGAAATGTGAAGAGAGAGAGAAGTAGAGCGATGGAGAGAAAGAGAGAGAGAGGTTTGTGGCTCGGCCACCACAATGCGATTCGCCTTATTGATCTTCTTTAATGAAAAGTGAAACTAATGATCTAAAGGGGGAGGAGGCAGTCAGGGGGGGTAGAGGGACAGAGGAAAGACAAATTGTGGTCCATGCTTGCCCACTCCACTGCAAATGGGTATGAATGAGTAATTATACATGCCTCAGTATGGTCTAAATAACACACCTCAGCTGCCACCCCCACTCCCACATCCACACCCACTGTGCCGTCTAGTTATGCTCCTTCAGCCACCAGAGGGAGTGGAGGGAAATGATTGGGGGAAAAGCGATACGCATACACTTTCCTTTCCTGTCTTTCTTACCCTCACTTGGTTTTGATTAATTGGGTCCTGATTATGGTATTGTTTTGGGGCTCCCTCAGCGAGGCCTAGTTAGTCTAATGAACCACCATCAATTTAAAAGTACGCCATGCTCCAAGGGACTCATCCTGAAAGCCTCAATCTGCCTGGCTTCAATCCTTCATGAGTAAAGTTAGTCACTTAGAGAAAAGAGAGTTACCATTAATTAGACTTCTGGAGTTTAATTAATTATTATTTTTTTTTGTTATCAAAGGTTTAAGCAAAAGTGCTGGTTATTATTATTATTATTATTATTATTATTATTATTATTACTTATATTATTATTATTATTATTATTATAAGTATTATAAGTACACATTTTATCATCGTCATTATCTTCTTTACGTAGTCTTTATATAGTCATCCTCATTACCATCTTACCATCATCATCATCATCATCAGTAGTTGTAGTAATGGAGTAATGGAAGTATCATCGTCATCAGCAACAGTACTGTCATCAGTGTCATCACAAACCATGACCATCATCACCATCATCATCATCATCACCATTATTATTATTATTATTATTATTATTATTATTATTATTATATTTTTGTAATGTTAGTATTTGTTATTTTTATTTAATAAATAAATAGTGTTAAGATTTTTAGTTTGAATCTGTTCAGCCACTCTTTGGCCCCTGCCCATGCTGTAGCTACAGCACTAGGAGTCCATGTGTGACTATCACAGTAACCTGTGCAGTAATATATGCGAGCCTGGGATCACAGCCATCTCCGGGCTGTCTGTTACCGTGGCGGCGGATGGCCCAGTCTGAGGAGTAGTGATGACAGGCACGGGAGTGTGGCAGCTCCTCTCCGCTGCATTTTACCTGACAGGCGGTGAAAACACCTCAGCCTTCCCAATTCCCCCTCATAACTCCTCCATCGCTCACACCGTGATCTGCCAGCTCTGCGGCAGACGGCGGAGGACAGGCACTTCCAGCCGATGCTTTGATATTTTGATCGCACATCGCTAAGTTTAGGCAATGAAATGATAACAGCCCCTGAATATAAAGCCCATAAAACTTTTTCATTTGCTCTCTGGGATATTAGAGAGAGAGTTAGATCACTACTTGCCAACTTTTTGACCATCTTGAACTTTCCGTAAGATTAATGTTGTTCTCGGATGATTCAGCTTTTTCATTTTTCCACTTTCAACAAGAAAGTAAGAATCCAATATTGAGGCCACCTCTTTTCTTTTTATTCCTCACAAACTTTGTAAAAATATGATGAATAGAGGGTTTTTATATTACTTCTGTGACCTGTGAAGGAAGGTTGACAAGAATTCTCTCCACAAGCTATCCGGAGCATAAAATTCATGGTCTTCCATTCAGGAATCCCTTTATCAACCTCTTGAGTCCACAGCCATGTGGAAAAGTTCAAAACAGCCCCTTGTAGGGTGACCTATGAACTTCGGACTGTATTTTAGTGGGACTCTGGGATTCAACTTGACCTGTGGTGGCGCCTTTCGGCTTCATTCTGAATGAAGGCTTCCTTCAGTGGGACCCTGGAGGCTAATTATATGTCCAGGCAGCCTTCTCTGCCCGATCTCCAGTGTCTCCCAAGCGTCACTTGAGGACAGATCGCCTTCAGAAAAGTAGAGAATCATGTGCTCTTCCTTGCAGTGTCACAATTCCAACACTTTGCTAGCATTTTCGTTTCACCAGGGGGGAGCCAGGAAAGTGGTATCTGCCTGCACAGCACGCAAAGATTAAACCATTATTGATTTCAAGCAGCTGACATTTGTAAAGCTCTTAACAATTTGTCCTTGCGTTCCTCTTCCGATGAACCCTCTAGGCCGGTTTAATTTGCTTTTGCATCTTCTTCCCCTCCTCCGTATCTATTTCACCCATTTGAACTAACTTATTAATGCACCGCCATGCCTCTTTCTCTTTTTTGATGCACTCTAAGATGAAAGACAACATAAAAGTCATGCAAACTAACCCCACAAGTTGTAATACACTCCCAAGCATTCTCTGGTAATTTAAGTTCTGGAATTGCCCATTAGGAAATATTTGCCTCGGCAGATATTAACTCTGAATGGAACACAAGGGCTGAACCTACCTCGCTGGTTTTCATTAGCTGTTGAGCAAATTATTAATTAGAACGGCGTAACTATGGCAAAATCGAGTGTCCTTGAGGGAAGAATAAATAAGAGTTTTGGGCTCCTCGTTTTTCACAGCACTCGGAATCCTCTGCACTTTCACTGTATCGTTTGATAAACAGTCCCGAGGCATGAAGATTATTAACTTTTAATTGCAAACTTTGAGCGACAGGACACAGATCCCGTGCTAATCATATGCCTAGTTGAGAGTTTATTAGAGTGAACAAAGGACTCTAATCAAACCAGAAGAAGCCCTAAACAGCCCAAGCATTGTTTCATTTAAAGTTTTAGTAGTAGGCAAAGTCTGCAAAATTGTCCTGACCTTAGCCTGTTTTACTCAATGTGCTAAGTGGGGAAAGTCGTGATGCAGCCTAGATGCTTGTTTGCACTACGAAGTTTCTCTGAACTTATATACTAGACCTCTAGAAATTGTTTGGAAGTGTGAATTTCACACAAAGCTGAATTGGTATTTTAAAAATCCCTGTTCATAAAAGGTATCATTGATTCCACCTAGCCCTACGATGGACTGTCCAGGGTGTATCCTGCCTTCCGCCCAATGACAGCTGGGATAGGCTCCAGCACCCCACCATGACCCAGTAGGATAAGCGGTTTAGATGATGTATGAATGTATGATTCTACCTATACTCAGAATAAGAGACTGTACCTCCTTACAGTAGTGTAACTAGATCTTTTACATCTAGATGTCTATTAAATCCCTCTTATTAATAAAACATCTCATCCATTGTAACTGTTTCCAGGGGGATACTTCAGAACATGCAACATCATCCATTCTTTAGTTCTAATTCTTAAATAGGCCGTTTAATGTAAACAATTACGTTAATTTTACACTGCAAAATAATTTCAAATTAAATTGTCAAAATCAAATTGGCAAATGAAATCATTGTAAATCTAGTCAGCATATGTAACATTTCTCATTATGAGATGTTTTAAGGATATTATAAGATTGTTTATGACTATACATATGTAGATATCATCTTAACCACTTATCCTTCTGGGTCATGAGGGGAGCTGGAGCCTATCCAAGCGCTCAGTGGGTGGAGGCCAGAAAACACCCTGGACATGTCATCAGTCCATTAAAGGAAAGACACACATTTACACTTAGGGGGTAGTTTAGTATCTCCAATTCGCCTGGACTGTGGAAGGAAACCCAGGCAGACACAGGAAGAACATGCTCCACACAGAAAGGAGCCAAAGGGAACACTGTCAGGGAATCAAACTTAGGACCCCCTTGCTGTGGTTGACTACCCACTGCACTACCGTGTCACTTGTAAAAGAGTTTAACACTTTTTTAAAATTTATTTTAATTTTTTTTTCCCACAATATGTTAAATTCAGCAAATAGACAAGCATCAAA